TGTAAATATTTCCCCATTTACAAATAACTCCATAACTTCTCAACCTTCTGGTCCTACCTGGCCTGCTATCACAGAGGTTTCCAAAACTTTCAGTCCATGACGGTGCAAGTGACATAGGACCCCCCACTATAAACGTATATAAATATTGCGCGCAACTGCGCACGCACTATAGACGTATCCAAACACAAGCACAAAATAGCACAACAGCCATAACATGATTCTACAGTAAATTACTATTTACTATTTTGAACTTGACCTCGCCTAATGAGATGGATGTGCAATATGTTTGGACCAATCTTGGTTTAATGTTGGAGACCGCTACTCGGAGAACATCCTCCATATTCAAAATACTATCCGTATTTCTTTTTTTAGGTACATCAGAGCAGAGAAAGTCTTTTCGCAGTAGGTAGTGCCAAACGGCATCAACACATCGAAAGCCGCCCTGGATAGCTGTGGTTATTTCACTGTCAACTGAAATCCAAAACTCAGCCAGCGTCTTAGAATTAGTCGCCGTCTTCAAGGTGCAGACGCTATTTCTAATCGTTTCTTAATTTTTATTTAATTTTTCTGGAAATCACCCCCCCCACACACACACACACACCCCACCCACACCCCCCCACCCCCACCATCTGGGTCCCGACACCCACTTCAGGAATCACCGTGCTATCAGATTAAATTACCGGTCTAGTGCCCCCTTGTGGATAAGATTTACACAAAGCTTTGAACAAGAACAATTTTTAACATTTCTAAATGAAAAAAGAAAAACAACTTTTTTTTTATCTGTACAAGAACCAACAATTTGCAGAGTGACAATGAATTAGGCTGATTTATCCAAAAAAAAAGAAAAAAAAAGGTGAACATTTAACAATATATATATATCAATTCAAAGCTGAGCTCTCTGTTTACTCAGCTGTGTGGCTGAGAATTCAAAAAATGCTTCATGTGTTTTCTTGATTTTTCCACGCTCACTCTCAGGGTTATGACAGGAGGTGGAAGCATAAACAGGAGGCTTTATTAAAGGAATAATCAGGCAGAACCATAATGCTCTCGACCCACGCTGTATTTTAGCCATTCAAACATTTTGAAGCTGCCTGAAGGCGATAATGATCCGTCAATTTTATCTTTATTAAGAAATGACATGCCAGACTGTGGGTGTTAAAAGCTTTTCAAATAAACAGTTTTCATGGTAGAATCAGCCGATTCTTCAGTCAGACCAGAGACCAGCAGCCGTACTTCTGCTGACTGCTGCAAACGCAAATTACTACAGACAGTTGGTCTGTTCAGACGCAGAGGTGTTTGCATGATCTGATAATCTTTATATACATTCTTAGCTTGTGTAACACCAAGTCAGTAGTACTAACTGTTAATGAATACAAGATAACCTATAATTATTAGGGCTGGGTGATGTGGTTAAAAAAATTCAGTCTCTGATATTTTCCAACCAAATCGGATTCATTTTTGGTCTCCTCTAAGTTTAATTATTAAAAAAAGACAAAATAAACTTCTTTACTTTAAAAAAATTGCTTTATAATAATAATTTAATGACTTTAAATTATTTTTAATGAGCCGCGGAAACCGTGCTTTTGGGAAAACAATCATGTTTAAGGTTTCTAATGTGATAAATGTAGTTTTATTATCCAGCTCTATGTTAAGGTTATAGAAACCAAAACAGTACTGACCAGAATCAAATGGATTATTTAGGTTGAGATAACTGAGTTTTTTTTTTAGCAAAATCCCCAAAATCTAACCTCTTCCTGAACAGTGAATGCACCACAGATCTTTGATTTCAGTGCTTAACCATCTCTGCTTTATAAATAACCCAACTGGTCCAATTAAGAAGATTATATAAGAAAATAGGTCATGCTGTCATTTAAACTTTGACTTTCAGGATAGTAAAGCGTCATCAATGCAGATTCAGTCTATATATATAGTGTCACATGGCATAAAATTATGATTTTAATGGGCCAATGTTCACATTTAAACAGTTTTAGCGGTGGGGCGTATTGGTGGTAAACATTGCAGGCTGCTGAGGAGTCTTAGCTGGTGATTTCATTCAGTTTTGTACAGTTTTTTATGTCAGGTACCTGAGCAGCAGATTTTAAAACTGTTCCAGTATCCTCTTATGTTGTAACTCTTACATTACAGGGGGGTTGATGTTAAGGATTTTTACTACGGATTTTACCAAGGATTTTTTGCCCTTTGGGCAAGTGGCTTTCACATTTCATTTCATTTCCTGGCTTCTCTTCATTGGCTTCCTGTTAAATCAAGAACAGAATTTAAAATCCTCCTTCTCACATATAAAGCCTTAAATGGCCAAGCTCCATCTTATATCAGAGATCTGATTGTTCCTTATGTTCCTAACAGAGCACTTCGCTCTCAATCTGCAGGTTTACTAGTGGTTCCTAGAATTTCTAAAAGTAGATTGGGAGGCAGATCTTTTAGTTATCAGGCTCCTCTCCTGTGGAACCAACTACCAGTTTTAGTCCGTGAGGCAGACACCCTGTCTACTTTTAAGGCTAGACTTAAAACTTTCCTTTTTGATAACGCTTATAGTTAGGGTGGCTCAGGTTATCCTGAGCTATCTCTATAGTTATGCTGCTATAGGCTTAGACTTTTGGAGGACATAGGGACCCCCATTTCATCATTCTGCTTCATTCTCTCTCTGTTCTCCTATTCTGCAGAATCTGTTAGTTCAATCTCTAACCTTCTGCTCTCTCTGCTTTTCCTCAGAGTAGCTTTGCCTCGTCTGTTCCTGTTTGGCTGTGACGTCATCCTGGAAAGAAACATCAGCTGTGCTGCTTCTATAAACACCCTTGTTTATAGATGTTGGAGATCGGCCTGTTTTCCAGTGTGGTCCTGTTTCTCTGACCGTGACTGAGTGGATGTGCTCTCTTCGTCCTCTGGCATGGGAGCTGCCTTGGAGCTCGTCTGCCTGGCTGTGTGTTTCCTGGACGGGGACGCCTTTTACAGCTGCTTTTTGTATCTCTGCTTCCGTCTCCTTGAACCCCAGTGGGCCTCGGCAGATGGCCGCTCACACCGAGCCTGGTTCTGCTGGAGGTTTCTTCCTGTTAAAAGGGAGTTTTTCCTCTCCACTGTCGCTACAAGCATGCTTAGTGTGGGGGATTGTATTTGAGTCAATGAGTCAATGCAATCAACTGGTTTTCCTTAGATAGAAAACTTTGTATCAATTTGACTGTATGATCTGGTTGAACTGTAAAGTGCCTTGAGATGACATGTGTTGTGAATTTGGCGCTATATAAATAAACTGAATTGAATTGAATTGAATTTGCCCAGAAACAATAATTACTTGCCCAGTATAATGTTTGATAAATATAGTTCCTGATATTCATTTTTGTATATAAATCAATGAAACATGTTTGTTTTTTAAATGTTTTTTTGTAATTCAGTAAGTTTCCAGGTTCCTGGTGTGTATCTGCATGCGTCAGATAATGAACTCAAGCCTACATTACCGTGTTAACATGCTTTTCAATCCTTCCTGCACATTCTTTTCAAACTAAACTTTGCTTTAAACTGTTGTGTGCTTGGAAAAAGATAAATTGTAATGTTAAAAATCTAAAAAAAAACTTGACAGGTTAAAACTTACACTACTACTACTCACCAATTTAACATGTTTAGCTCTATAACATTTAAATGCACCACTCCAATGTCTAAGAGAAAAAGATTTAATGAACATTTTTTAATGTATGACCACTGTACAGAAGACTGCCATATGATAGAAATATTTACACTGATCGCATACAGTTATTTTCCTAATCCCTGACTGATCATTTTAAATCTAGCGTGTATTATAGTATAGATTAAATTCATCATCCATCTGCTGCTCTGCAGAACTCTCTCCCCAAGAGCTGAATCACGTCATCTAATGGAAAATCACGCGAGAATGTGTACAAACAACAAAAATGGCGCCGGCAACGCTTGTGGGTCGTTTTCAGCGAATGTCAGTGATTTTAAAGTAATTTTGAGTGATAAATAATTTTTTTTGCGATCATTGCACTTGCCCGCCGGGCAAATGCAATGAAATTTATACTCTCCCAACAATAAAAACTACTTGCCCCGGGCGATGGTTAACATCGAGCCCTGCATTAGAAACGTACACCTTTAAGTTAAAGTTTTTATAAAAAAACATTGGAGCTTGTCAATAATATTCTGATAAATTAATCTCTTTAAAAACCTGTTTAACACTAGGACTCCCATTATTCAGATCCTACTTGAACTCCCACTGGTTGGTGACATTTCTCCCAATCGAACACATGAGTAGTGATTATGTCATCAACTGAGATGGTTCTGTGCGTTATAAACCCATTGTGGATACGTAAACCTTAAAACAGGTCTAATATATATTTTTCAAAGGCTGTATTGTATGCTATTATTATTTGTGTTCTAAATTTGTATTAGAAATAAATCCATAAAGCAAGACTATTTTACTACACAGGTTTAAAGTTTGAAATTATAATTTTATTCACAGAAATTGATTGATTCCCCCCAAACATTTCTCTTTCTACTCAGTCCTCCTCATCGGTCTCTCCCTTTCCAACCAAATCGCTATCATCAATATTTTGAAGCAATTCTAAAGCCTGTTTCACTGTTAGATTTCTTCTGAAAGCCATTTTTCCATAATAGCCAAAGAGTTCTAGGAAGAATGTTGGTTGCTACGCACAGCCGTCATTGCTGTGAGAGATCCAGGTAAAATTGACCATATTTATTTTTTACATTTTTATTTTATAAAAAAAATACATGAAAATGAAGGAAATATAGAAATAGGAAAAGTCAGTTAACATGAGCAACATAAGATTAATTTTAAAATAAGGTCTTTCCCTTTAAAATCTCAGAACCGTCAAAATGACGGCCTTGGGAGTTCTAGTGAATTATTATCTTGATGAAGAGTGTATACATCATATTCAACTTGAATGATGTGTCTAGAAAAGGGCAGAAAGTTGATGAAACACTTGAGATTTAAAGATATTGACAGGCTGGCTCACCCGCTCAGTGCAAGCCGCTGTGGTTCTCAGTTTTTCCTCGATCTCCTTCCCGCTCTTCTGGACCGTCATCTGGGTCTGTTTGATGACTCTCTGCGCTGTGTGAAGCCTGCCAGAAGGGGAAGCAGATCACAAAGTCGCCGTTAACATCATCTCACAAACAAACTGGACCACCACGACATCCCCGACTTCGCAAAGAGGTCATTAAACTGATTAGCTGAATAAAAATGTAGTAATTTATAAGAACAGAGGCAATAAATTCAACTCAGTTTGGATGGTTTTTGAACTGTTTACATGACACAGTAAGAATTATGATTGCTCCCATGTGGGGAATAGTTGTTGTGCGGAGTTTGTTATCCCTTTTTGTTTTGTTTTTCTGTAGAGGTTAATGAGAAGTTTTGACATTAAATAATGAGCAGAAACAACACTGAGTTCATTCCAAACAACAGACCTTTACAGCTGAGAGAAAGAGATCAACTAGATGAACTTCAACAGGATTGGCTTGGAAAGCAGACCGGAACCAATCAGTCCCGGTAAAAGCACAGACAGACCTTCCAAGGCCCCTAATTTACCAAAAGCCGCAAACCATTTCCAAATTCCATGTCACTGTCATCACTGAAACAGAAAACTGCAAGATCAGTACACAGATGACAAGCAAACACATTATTATGACCATCAATCATAAGCAGCGAATGTTTGCTTCCAATTCAAAGGCCATCAAACTATAGACAAACCCACGGGACCAAACTCATCCAGAGGAAAGATTCTCCCATGTTGGGAACCAGCTAAAGAGTGAAAAACTGAGAAACTCTGAATAAAACTGTCAGGCTGGAATAGTTCACCCCAGTCCAGCTTGATGTGTCAATGCTATCCATATGGTACCGTGCCGTCATGGCGGCATTTCTCTTTTAGAAGTTTTTTAAGTCGTAGGGAATTCATCTTTAAATGTCAAATCATTCTGGCTTAAACATGTCACACGACATTGTCCTAAAAGTTATACAATTTCTATTTTTTTTTTAAATTCCTGTCTTAAAACCTGTGTTGCTGTTTTTTTTCATTATCTTATGCAGGCCAGTTAGTTATACGTTAGCATTCCCATTGGGAACCTACTAGCACCAAGTTGCTAACTGGTTAGCAAAAATGCTTCTGATAAACCGGCCACAACCAAAATGCTTGCGAACCTTCCTCCACAACATCCCCTCCCCCTTTGATAATCGACCAATCACATTCACTTTATTCACTCGTGTAAAGTCGTGCACCACTCGGGAGAATTCGAAAATGCAACAGCTGGAACAGCCTGTTCCCTACGACTTTAACTACTGCGGTTTTATTTTGTTGTGGTTGCTGGAGATGTCTCTAACGCACACTCAAAATGTTGTTGCCTTGCCTTGCCTTAATTTTGGGACAATATGGTCTGATAAAGAGTACATTTATATACATTTTTAAGCTAGAATGATTAGACATTTAAATATGACTTCCCTATGACTTTAAGGTGGATTTTTTAGGCAAACAGGAGCTGGTTTTGTCTGGTAAAATAAAAAACTGAAACATGACTGATTATTGATATGAATGTGGTTTGATCACAGGCTGGAAGCCATGGATGTCCTCCATGGGAATATGTTCTGATTGAGTTTAGAGCAGAAGACTCTTCTTTAATGAGCCCACAGCCTAGTTGGGTTATTTTACTCATTCCGGGAGGCTTTATAGTTATGATAGCCACAGTAATCTCTGAATATTAATGCCCCTCAATGGCAAATAACTTTCAAAGATAACTCTTAAAAAAGCTACTTAAACCAATTCTGTTATTCTACAGGAAGAGAGTATAAACTGTCTGTTTTCAAATCCACATTTCTAATCTGCTCAACAGGGAAAGAATTTGGAGAGATCCTCAGGTTATCAGGATAGATCTTTTTCAACAACTCTGTTTGTTTGGGCGATTGGGATAAGAGAATCAGATAAGTCCCCTTCCCTCAGGTTTAACTAGTTATCTCTCCTCTGCTTTTCACGCATGTCTGCCCACTTATCACCTCAAACTTTCACCCTAATGGCTACCCAATTGTAGGCAATATGGAGCCCTGTAGAGAGAACGGGGAGGTTCCCATGCACCCACAGTGGAGATGGGCCACTATGAAATATCCCAAACCTTCAAAACTTTTCTGCTGCAGAATATCGGGTCGTTATGGCTAAGGTGGGTATCAGCCCGATTCCTGATAAACATCAGACAAACAAGCTCATTCCACCCTTTCATCACAGAAGGAGATTCTGCAACAATGTCAGATTCAATTCTGCCTTTAAAGTGTGAGGCTTGTCTTCAAAATAACAGTTAGTTAAAATAGTAAATAAGAAGAATAGTTGCTAATTAGTATCAGCTGCTTTAGTGTTAATAAAAAACATGCAACAAGTGGTGCGTACAGTGCTTGTCTGGGGAGTGACACGAAAACACAGACCTGTACAGGTGTAACTATGAGCGCTTTAAGGTTTTGGATTGAATTACTTTAAGGTCAGTCCTGCATGTTTAATGCTGCATTCACACCGGACGCAGCTGGCGCGACAGAAGCAGTGAGTTTACATGCAAAGTCAATGGTTGACGCGCGTCAAGGCGCAGCAAAAGGTCCCGCGGCGCGTTTTGAGCAGCAGGCCCGTCTGAGCAGCTGAAGCAGCGCGTCGGGCGCATTTAAGCATCTGACGCGCTGCAAACGCGCTGCTGCTCGAGATGGAAAAATTGAATTTTTGCTGCTCGACGCGCCGCGTCAACCAATCAGAGAAGCTGATCTGGGAGTTGGCTGGGAGAGAGACACAGCGCTGATGACACAGACCGCTCTGATCACTTCTCTTAAACAGTTTATTAACGCATAATTAACTTAAAATGCAGAAATCTGCCGGCAGAATATGCAGTTTGGATTATTTAGATGAAAAACATAGTGATAGTGAAGCTCCGCCCAACGCGCGTCAGACACACTTTTGCACCGCGCAGCCAGAGCAGCAAAGCTGCTTCAGCCGCGCGTCAGAACTAACTGGTACAAGCAGCAAAAATGAAGCAGCAGACCCGATTTTGCTGCTTTTGCTGTGTCCGGTCTGAATGTAGCATTAGAGGTTTCCCTGTTTTTTCATAGATGGCTGATTCAGTCTTTTATTGAAGGGCAATTCTCTGAATAAGGTTTGTTAAAGCAGGACACCTGCCCTCAAGGACAGACGGACACGCCTGGCTTAGACCCTTCACTGGTAGAGCGACGGCTGGCTTCCTTTTGTATGGAGTCAATTCTGTTCCATTATTGTTGCAAACAAACATATAATAAAAAAGTGCCTGACTTAAACTTGATGAACAGTTTAATTAAAACAGGTTTTTAAGAGTCGTCTGTTCCTGTTTGGCTTTGACTCCATCCTGGAGAGAAATATCAGCTGTGCTGCTGCCATCAACACCTTTGTTTATAGATGTTGGAGATCGGCCTGTTTTCCAGTGTAGTCCTGTTTTTCTGAATGTGACTAGTTGGATGTGCTCTCTTATCCTCTGACATGGGAGCTGGCTCAGGCCGCCTTTTACAGCTGCTTTTTGTATCTCTGCTTCTGTCTCCTTGAACCCCAGTCAGCCTCAGCAGATGGCCGCTCACTCTGAGCCTGGTTCTGCTGGAGGTTTCTTCCTGTTAAAAGGGAGTTTTTCCTCTCCACTGTCGCTACAAGCATGATCAGTGTGAGGGATTGCCTTCGGGTCAATAAGTCGATGCAATCAACTGGTTTTCCTTAGATAGAAAACTTTGAATCAATTTGACTGTATGATCTGGTGAACTTTAAAGTGCCTTGAGATGACATGTGTTGTGAATAGGCACTATAGAAATAAACTGAATTGAATTTAAAAGTATGAAAAAAGAAAACAAAACATTAAAAGTTCTTTTCCAAACTCCCAACATTAGATTTAAAAACTTACTGTTTAAAGTGGGAGCTTATCAAAAGCAAAGCACGTTATTCAAAGATGTGACCAGACTTTATTTTCCTCAAAACAAACTTCATTTCCTCGTTTTTAGAGCCTTGTAACACACCTTTTCAAAACACAAACATATTTTTCTTTTGCTAGCTCGATCCATTATATCCAAGGGTTGTTTTTTATTCACACATGCCTGTCCTGCATGTTTCCAAACGCATCTTCATCTCTACCAGGAACTCGTTTCAGGCAACCACCATTCAAAGAGGCTTGTGCGAACAGAGCCCTCAATTAACGGATTCAAAACAACAAAGCGGGGATAACACCTCTCTTAACACCTCAACTGGTGACAAAAAAAAAAAAAAAAAATCACCTAATCAAAACAAACAACCGTTCTGAATTCCATCTTTTATCTCATCACAGAAGAATGTCAACAAATCCAACCACTTTCAGCTCACCATTATCTCCATCTACGAGGAGCGGAAGATAAGATGCCTGGAGAGAAGCTTCTCTGACAGCTTCTACGTCCTCCAGGCTGATGGCTGGAGCTCCGCTAACCCGCCATAAGCCATGTTTACAATGCAACAAAGACACGAGTGGGCTGACGAGATTCAGAGCAAAGACATGTCGAGTCTCGAAAGGGTCAGGAAGGGATCATGTAGCGAGGCAATGCCAGATAAAAAGGTGAAGCCTTGATGAGTGATCCGTGGAAGTTTTTTTACCTTTATAAAACACAAATTGTTTTACTTTACTTTACTTTTTTCTGTTAAACCATAACGTCTGTGATAAAACTGATCTGCTTCCACAGTCATTGTCAAGATAAAAAGCATAAACACAGAGCTGCTTTTTTTAAAGAGAATATTGTATAAAAATGCAAACATTTCTCAGAAATTAAATTGGTTATTTATTGAGATTGTTAAACACTAAAATGTTTTAAGCTTTTAATTCTTGTAATTTTGATGATTGTAGATTACAGACAAAGAAAACTTAAAATCTGGTGTTTCAGAGTCAGAATATTAACAAAAAACTTCCCGCACACGTTTTGGTTGGTATGATCTTCACCCAAACGTACCATTAAAAAAATCAGACAGAGAGCAATACAGGGTGTAGGAAGTATTTTGAGTTTATCTGTGGACACGTCTTGGGCTACATCCTCTTCCTACGTGCCCGTGCCTTTAGGTGGTTTTTCATTC